ATTTTCTTTACCCGGTATTTGCAGCAATAAAATTTTAAATTTCAGTGTTGAAATCGAATCCAGCATGGCTCCCAAGAAATCGAGAAAAGTTATTTCAATCCAGGTAAAGCAGGAAATTATAAAGAAACATGAACAGGGCATTAGAACAAATGTGCTTAGTAAAGACTACAGCATGTCGGCATCAACTGTGTCGACAATTCTTGCACAGAAAGACAAGTTTAAGGAAGTGAAAGTGAGAGACAAAACTACCAGTGTTTAAAGGTAGATCCCTAATAGCAGAAACAGAGAGGTTACTTCTCATTTGGATCAGGGAAAAGCAAATGAAAGATGATTCAGTTTCTACAGAATTTATTAGTGAAAGAGCCAGGGAGATTTACGAACATTTAAAGAAAGATCAACCTGGTTCTTCTGGCACAGAGTTCGAAGATTTTCGGGCAAGCAAGGGCTGGTTTGAAAATTTTAAGAAAAGAAGTGACATTTTCAGTGTTATTATACATGGTGAGGCTGCAAGTCCAGATAAAGAAGGAGCAGCAAAGTTTGTAGTGGACTTTAACAAACTGGTGGATGAAGAAAATTATCTTCCACAGCAAGTGTTCAATGTGGACGAAACCGGGCTGTTTTGGAAGAAAATGCCCAAAAGAACATTCATCACCAGAGATGAAGCCTCTTTACCTGGGCATAAACCAATGAAAGACCGTCTCACTCCATTGCTTGGTGCCAATGCTTCAGGGGATTTCCGACTGAAGCCTATGCTTGTTTACCACTCTGAGAACCCCAGGGTGTTCAAACAACAAAAAGTGGAAAGAGGAAAGCTTGGAGTTTATTGGAAGTTCAACCGTAAGGCATGGGTGACAAGACAGCTCTTTAATGAATGGGCTGTTGAGGTGTTTTGCCCTTCTGTCAAGAGCTACCTAATCCCCAATAAACTCCCTTTAAAGGCTCTTCTCCTTATGGATAATGCCCCTGGTCATGACCCTGAACTTGCCAGCACTTTGGAGGCTCAATTTGACTTTGTCAAAGTGATGTTTTTGCCTCCCAACACTACATCAATCATGCAGCAAATGGACCAGAATGTGATCAGCAACTTCAAGAAGTTGTACATGAAGAAAATGATCAGGAGGTGTTATCAGGCAACTCCCACTGATCCTGAACTAACACTGGCACAGTTCTGGAAGGCACAATTTAACATCCTGGAGGCTGTAAAATTGATTGTGTCATCATGGCAAGTAGTCTCCATTAGATCTCTCAATTCTGCATGGAAAGCACTGTGGCCATTAGCAGTTCATGATTTTGAGGGATTTGCAAAAGAAGCAGAGTTGGACAAGGAGATTGTGTCCATTGGTCAGTCATTGGACCTCGAAATGGAGGAGGTTGATGTGGAAGAGCTTGTGATGTTTCATGAGCAGGAACTTACTCCTGAAGACTTGCAGCAACTGGATGAGATGTTAGAGGCTGACAGTGGTGAGG